ATGCCATATATTGCATACAGAAACTAATTTCAGAACACCAGCTTCTCCATCAGGAAGCTTATTTGCATTTACAGGGTTTCAGTTTTAGGTGTAAAAGAAATAAAACTTAATGATTATTGTTTTAATTAATATTCCCTCTTTCTTAACTTCTTCAATTTAATTTTCAGCTCTTATGTTCACTTATTTTGCATCTATATCAGTCTTCCATGTATTTTTACTTAAAGAAATTAAAGCTTGTGTTTATATAACCATTTCTATTGGGAAAAAAAAGAAAGGTGCACTTTAAAATAGCGTACACCAAACCATTACCAGTAATCCTCGACTTTGCTTGTATTCCTTGACGATTTGTTCAATGTTCTCCACCAGTCCTGCCTGAGCAACCCACTTAATGTTGAAAGTCTCTTTCAGAAACATAGATTCCATTCGCAGGTTCACAAGCAACATATCCAAATGCATTTGCTGAGGGAGCAAAGCTACATTTATTTACAGACTTAAGCTATGCATGTTAAAAGAACAGTTAGCTTAAACTAGAGACAAGAATGGAGGGGTGAGAACAAATTATTTTTGGGAAAGAAGGTTTGCACACAAAGCAAAACAGACATTTTAAGCTTTTTAAAAATATAAACACTTTCAATATATATTTGTATTTGAGTATTCTCATGAACCATTAGAACATGAAACGTTAAACAATTATTCTGTACAATACAAAGGTTTCATATAATTGCAGGGAATAACCTCTTTCATAAATTTTTCAAGCTCCATCTTAAAACTACCAGGGTTGTAATTTGTTTATTTCTCCTAGGAACACTTTATTCCAGATAAATAGATGAATAATTTGTGTATGCTGTGTTCATCAGCCTCAGTATCACCTCATTATTAACTTTTTTTGTTACTTTTATAATTATGTGTAGGTTTTGTTAGAGTGCAGTATGCTCAGTGCAGCAGTGACATCAGTGCTCCACTGCTTTTCTAAATCAGGCTGTAACTCCTCAAAATAGTCTGTTCTATGATGGTTAAATTTTAGTTTGTTTATTTTCTAAATTTAAACTCACTGTATATATTTTTAGGCATGGTTTAGGGTTAAATTTTTCTGGTGAAATAAAAAAATATATATATATTTCATGATATTATACTTTTAAGTTTATATCCTTTCCTTAAGTAATAAAGGGGAAAAAAGTACTAACTGTTAACTCTTTGCTCAGGAATGCATTTTCTTTTGGAATCTTCTCAATTTTTCCTGATCCAACATTTTTACTGATACACTATCAAGAAAAAAAAAAATACACTTATTAAATCAGATTCTTAGAAAAAATTGTACAAGATTTCTGCAGATAAAATATGTGCTTTAAATTTTATTTTACGCTATAGCTGAAAAATCAGTATACTGATTTGAAATAAACAGATCAAAGAACAGTGTATTAACTTTAATGTTAGTGTTAAACATCTTTGTTTTGCTATATACCACTTCCTCTTTAGTACTTGCAATAAAAAACAAACAAACGAACAACCCAAAACCACAGAAAAGTGTTCCGAAGCTCTTAAATCTATGTACAACTTCCTACTGCTTAAGAACTATTTGGACACCTATTTTATTTCCCAGCACTTTCACGTTAGGTTCTTGAAGTATTTAATTCTGTTAACAATCAGGAAGGGTTTTCAGATCAATGCCACCAATAACTCTCCATATTACCGTTTTCATTTCATCATTAGACAGAAGTTGTTAGTTACACCTACAGCCCTTTAAAAGAGATTTAAAATCCCACTAGATTCCATAAAATCATGAATATTGATATAGAGTGTCAGATCAAATCTACATATATTCCAGCATTCTGTCTTCAACAATGTCAATTAGTGGACGCCTAAATGAAAGTAAGAATGGGAAAAGCACGTATGATGCTCCTTCCAGATACTCTTCTAATCTTCAACTATTTTCAGCTCAGAGACTTCCTAAACTAGAAATAGCTGCTGTATATTTAAGTAACTCTCAAGCTATTTCTCTCCCATGTACCTTTCCAGTCTTCCCCTGGGCTGGTACAGCTCCCTGCCAAGATGGCTCTCTGCAGCGCTCACTGCAACACTCTCTCCATTGGCAACTTCCCATCTCTGCAAGAACTGTCCAGTTGTTCCTGCCCTCTATTTCCCACTTCTAAACAATCACATACCCATGAAAAGACCCAACCACTTTTCTTAGGGTGCCTAGCTGCTTCTCAACAGCTTTTGGTGAAATACTTCTGTCAAAGCCTTTGGGAAATTCAAGTAGACTACATCAGCTTGTTCACCCTTATCCACATTTGCTGGTCACATTAAAGAACTTCAGGAGGTTTTCAAAGTATTTGAAAGTACTTTTTTGGAAAGTATTTCTTGGGAAAATATTTTACAAAAGTCACATTGACTCTTTCCAAATAGATCATATGTATCTGGGTGTCCTTTAATGCATTTAGTTTATTATAATGTCTAATAATGTGCCTGGTTATTAGCCAATGGTATTAGGCATATTGGCCTGTAATTCCCAAAACATTTCAGGAACCTCTCTTTTTACATTGGGATCACACTTATCATCCTCCAGCCTTCAAGTGCCAGGACCATGCTAAACAGCAGGTTGTATGCATGAATTAGCAATTCAGAGTTATTTCATCCTTGAGCTATTTCAGACCTATGGTATTCATTGAATACCATAAGACCGGTGGTTTCTTAGTGTTCATTTTGTCAGTTCATTCTATAATCTTTTCTACAGTTACTTTAGTTTTATACAGATCCTCTAACAAATTATCCACAAAGAGATCCTGAAGCATTAAGATGCTTCCAAATTCTTACCCATGCCCACTAATGCAAAGCATCTCTGCTATGGCCTTGTCTTCTCTAAGTGCTCCTTTCATACCGTAATTAGCAATTAGCCTTATAGATTTCCTGGCAGGCTTTTTGTTCTTTAAGTGTTTGAAAAAAGGGTATTAATTTTGAATCTTTCCTGATAGTTGATCTTCAAGTGTTTTTTCACTTATCCTGCCAGACTTCATGATCTTTTCTATCCTATTTTCTTCATCTGGACATAACCATAACTTTTTGAAGTCTGACATCTTGTTTTCTTCAACCTACAGTTTAACCATGCTAATTTACATTTTCTCTTTCCCAAACTTTTCTTAATAAGTAGCATGCAATGGCCTTATATGGCTAATAATGTAAGTTGCAATAGCCTCTACCCTTCTCCTCTAAGGACTTAATATTTTTAATGTCTTTTGTGTTCTTTTTTATATAATGCTCTTTCCTATGGTTGACCATAGCTGCAAAAGTTATTTTGACCTTTGCTTTTTCCATAGGGATGTTGACTAATTGCAATATGGTCACTTATACAGAATGGCTCTTCAACTATTAACTTTTTAGTGAGACCCTGTATATTTACCTGAACCAAAAAAAGGTTGGATATTCTTGTGAGATCCCTAAACACACTGTTCCATGAAACACTCTTTGACACAACCAAAAATATTGGGCTGTTATGTTTGCGCCTTACGTAACATTTGCTCAATCTACATGAGCAAGTCTCCTATTATATTGCATTAGTTGACTCTCACAATCAGTGTATAGTTCAACAGTGTCATCAAGACTATTTCTAGACTTAGTTTCCAAATGCTTGGAAAAACAAGATATCTTCCTACAAAATTAAGTGAAAAACATCTTAAAGACTTTTGAGTGTCTAATTACAGTATTGTGAATCCCATAACAATTCACCAGAACTTTCTTAGGTAAAATTTCTACTTAAGTTAATGATAATACTGCAAAAGCTAATTCTGCAAAATCAGGTTCCAAGTAATGTATTTTTTTCAAAGGACAGAAGTCCTGGAGGATTTCAAAATAATTTTCTATGTCATTTACTACACAAGATAATTCAGGAAGACCTAGGAACTTGCACTTCAGTAAAATGTATAGCTTTTAAAACCTTAAAGATATCTGAAAAAAAAAAAAAAGAATCAAATCTCTTACCTTTATTAATTCTTCAAGAGTGTGCATAGATACATCTACTGCAAGTATGTAGTGAGACCTTGGCTTGTGGTCTGCTATATTTTGTAACACTCTGAAACATACAAGTACAGGGTCAGTAGTTAGAGAAGCATACTGGGCTTGCATTGTTAAATGCATTTCAAAAACAATACAAAGAGTTTGTAAAATCTCACAGAACTTTTCAGAGCATGACATTTTCATACATATTTTCCTTAATAAAGAAGCACAGCTTGATATTTTATTTGGAAAGGAGTTCAAAGGATAAAAAGCAACATCTGTAGAAGATATTAACTTAGCCTGCAGTAGAGTCCACGATCCACTTCCAGTTCTGTGCCAGTTAACTGGTATCACACTCTAGATCCAGTATTGCTAGTAATTTCTTAAAAGCATAGCACCAGTGCAACAGTCAGATAAGGTTTCCAGAAGGCATATCTAGTACTAAAGAAATGGAAGTCTCTGTTTGACTTAGTAAGAAGGGCCAAAGAGTGTTCTTAAACTCACCCACCCCAATTTAAAAGCCTCAGTACTCTCTAGTAGATTTGGATTTGTTACCTAGCTAGGTATCAGTTACTGTCCAAGGGAATTTTTTTTTACTTACGCTGCTAAATCAAGAACATGAATAGTTGGAATAAAATTATTTCCATCTCCAAAAACAGGTATTGCAGGAGTCTCACTAAGCCAACCTATCTGAAAATACAAATGGAGAATGAAATGAGGAGAAAAAGGTTACTTTTAACTAGAACTAAAAAAGGAGAATTTGTTTACTAGGCAAATCTATATATTCAGGATTTAAGGTTCAATTTCTTGAATGATTAACGGAACTGCAGTAAAGGAAACAATTCTTGAGAAATACTGATGGCAGCCTGCAAAAACCAAGAAACTTTTTTTTTTTAAAAGAATATTCTTTGATCTTGGCAAATGTTATTTTGTATCCCAAATAAAATAAATGCTTGGAAAAAATATAATGTTGAGAAGAAAGATGTTTTTCCTGATTCCATTGATATGACAGACATGTTCTCACTGTAAAGTACACGTGGAGATACTGTTCAAAAACTATGGAAAAAACTAAAAAAATGTATAGAGCCAAAAAAGTGGAAAACACTTTCACTGTAGCTAAAACATTTCAAAGGGATAAAATAATCAGTTTTGTTCACAAAAGCATTAAGTTTGTGATACCAAAGCTACTAAACATGCATTCAATTCCAGTGTGGTTTGCCCCTCAAAATTAAATGAACCTTCAAAAATAGTTGGATGTCTACCTTAAAAAAGTAGTGCAAGACTCCTTCCCCAGCTCCATATTGATGTCCTGAAGCAACAATGTAAGTTGAAAATTTATGTTTGTTCTGTGAAGTAAAATCAACAAGAAAGTTTTTATAATAATATGGTACTGCAAATGGGATACTGGCTTACCCTGAAACTTGAGTACTTGTGTACTAAATATTTAGTACACTATAGTACATTATATCACTTAAAATTTGTAGCTAGATCAATTGTTGCATATCCTGTAGTTTCATAAGTCATACTGCTAATATTTCCTTTAAAAAAAGCATTGCTCAATCAGAATTGACCTGTCTACATTTGAATTGAAATTCTAAAAAATTTTTAAGAGTTAAAAAATTTGAAGTTATATAAATCAATGAAATGAACAGGATAACTCATGTTTCAACTTTCTATTCCCAAGAAAAATAACTCTGAAATTCATTGAAGCTATTTTTTAATTGCATTATATTTGCATTTGACTGCCTAAAGAAGTGGGAAATGCTGGCTCAAAGATTATACAATTGCTTTACTTTCATTTTGATATACAATTTAAAAAACCAAAAAATCCGTGAACTATCTAAATGTTTTCCTAAACAGCATATTTTTTGCTGACCATTATTGCATAATGTCATAAATTTGCCTGTCCTGGCTGCCTGTTTATGTAAAAAGTTACTGCTTGGATCAGTTAAGGATGGCTATACAGAGGAAAAAAAAGATTTTTAGATCATCTTAAGGAGAAAAACTGTCAAGAAAATCTTTTAAATTAGGACCAGTCACTTTGAAATTTTTAAGGTGAAACAAAACTGTTAAATAATTCTCATGTTGTAAAGATCCTAGACATTATATATCTATATAACACTATGTAAAAGAACCTGCATTTACCAGCAGAGGGAATAAATGCCCAGATTTGGGATCTACTTTTTTTGTGAAAAAATGCATCTTTTGTTATCATCTTTCTAATATTACAGAACCATAAAACTAAGAACTCTGTTAGCCAATCTTTGATTATATAAGCAAAGCATCATATAAAGGGATGACAAGTTACAACATCAGTGTATTGGATCTGTATATGTATTTTTATCTATCTACTTCCAAAATAAAACTTTGTAATAAAAACTATCTCATCTCAGTTGAATGCAGCAGCTTGTTAGTAATCACGAGAAACATTAAAATTAGAAGACATTACAGATAGCATAAGAGCTCCCACACTTAGTTTGCTTGGGTAGTACCATGCTAGAAACTGTTTGTACCCTAAGAGCAGCAGCTCCCAGGATTGCTCTGGACAGACTGCAAACATGCCCCAGGAGAAGACATGCTGAAATTTCCGTCTCCCAGCAGGAAAAACCTGCCTCTTGTGAAAGCACAGGACGTGCTGTTTCTCATCTCCCTTAAGAATGTAACACATCGGATTTTCTTCCATTTACCTTGCAGTAGCTTCTGCAGTAGCCACTTGTGGAGACAAACCACAGTTCGGCACTGAGGGCTACACTTCACTGAAATACAAACCTCTGAAACAGGTTTAATCCTCTAAAAATGTCTATTTAGTGTCACAAGTCACACATATGAGAAGGTACTACTTGAGATGACTTGGATATACTTAATTTAAAAAATAAGACAAGTATTTGGCAAGCTCCAGTTACACACAGCATGTTTAGTCAGGGATACCTTCACGTTCCTGTGTAATATCCATTAAAGCCACTAGATGTCACATTCTAGCTGTTATAATCAGTTCTAGGCTTTAGTTGTTCTACGTTTGTTTGTTTGTTTGTTTTATTCTAATAAAATGCTTGAAGTGAGAAACAGATCTAAATTAATGGATTCAGGAACTGAATGCCACTGAGAACAGAGCTGGGAGATGAAGAGCTCCTCTGTCTGTGGTAGGCAGATGTTTCTCCAAGGATTCTGAATTTGGCAGGACCCCAGAGTCAGTGACTTCTCTCTGACGAAAGCTACACAGCCTGAATGCTCTGCCACAAAGGTAAAGGTAAAAAATTGCTAGTGGTAAAAAGCAAAGATTTCTAGCTCACAACTCTTGCTGAATTTTAAGCAAAATATAGGTGGGAGATACACTAACTCTGAGGGGTGAAATCTTACTTTAAGCAACAACAGCCATTAAATTGCACTCTGAACAGATATGAAGGCTAAGAAACCCTTCTGTTCTTAGGTGCAAGATCTTCTTTACATGACTGACATCGCTGCTGAATCCTAGTATCTCCTGATGAGCTCTTTGCAGGTGAGTGGTAACACTGTCATTTTTTTCACAGATGGCACATTCCCCGGATGCCACTGAATTTAGAAATGAGTAAGAACTGTAATCCAGAAGTCTCCAGCCATCACAGGAAGCTAATGTTGATCTGCTGTGAAGAACAGATGCTTTGGAGTCTTCCTGTTCCAAAGTGCTGATGGAAACTAAACAGGGGCAGTGATACCATTGAAGCTGCCCCCTGGAGTTCTGGAGGAAGAGGGCTCCTTTTGAAATGCCTACAAGAGGTATATATTGAAAATATTCGAGTTGCTTTATCATATACTGCTACATATTGTTCTACTGTCTTCTCAACAGACATTGAGCCTGGCAAACATTTAGAAGCTAATTATATTAATACCTTTGTTACGTAGTGACTCAGTGCTTTGGACTAGTCAGAAAAATTGAGTCAATGGTTCATCTGGGTGTTACTGGTGGAAGAAGACATTGTGAGGTTTGGTGGACACTGTTTACAATCTTCATGTTTGTAACGTCACAAGTATGAGAGTTATTCCATAGTCTTATAGAATAACTCCATGTTAGCACAGTAAAAGTAAGAACAATTTACCACTGATTTTTCAAGCTGTAAACCGAATTTTACTGGCATTCTGTACTATTAAACCGATGTTAGAATAGAATATAATTTCTAGTGCTATTTTCTCAGCAGGGCATAAGATGACAAGTGTATACTCAAATCAGAGTAAAGGTTTTTTCCCCCTCTATAATTAGCCTGATAAATTTCTGCAATGGACATTTATTATATTTATTATGGGAGACTGCTAACGTACAAAGAGAACGACCAAATGACACCTTCATCATACAGTGTATTTTGTTGTTTTCCAGTTCTCTTTCCTAACTTCCACAGTACTCTATCTCTAATGACAACAGCATCAATTTTCCTGGGTTGGGAAGCACAATCTGAGCCACTGTTGGTATTTATTTAATAATAGCTCTTAAATACAGAAAGAGGCATGGTCTGTTCTCTAGTAAGAATAATAATCTAATCAGGTCAAACAAGCAAAGCTGAAGGAAGTGATTTTAAAACACATATAAAGTGATAACATATATTCTAGTTATTCTGGGTCAGCCCTTTGGCCATGATTTTAAAGTGAATTATAGGGTGGAATAAAAGTCAACAAGCCCTTTGCTCCAAGAGCACAAACAACCCAGGAACATGCTAAGCATGGCCAGAACATCTTCTAAGTATTTAAATGAGACATAATATTAACATAGCTTGCTAATATCTAAAGATGCTGCTTTTCTTTAAAACTACGCTAATATCCCTTTCTTCTACTTTGTTTCATCCTCAAGTCTTTCCCCACACAGGCCTCAGCTTTAATTTTCTCCGATACAACCAATGAAACAATATATTATTTTAAATGAGATAAGCATGATTTACTCACTACCTAAGGAAAACAGACAGAATTTGGGATTTGTATTAGGCAGACACTTATGTTTCAAAAGACATTATAGTCTTCTCTATTCTTGATATTTTATTAATAATTGATGTTATCCATATTTATCAAGAGAATAACATACTCTTAAACTTTATTCAAATTGATGGTAATTTCCATTACTACGATAATGCTCTAGATAAGAAGACCAAACAACCTATTTTTATTAAAAAGTTCTTTACATACAGTTTTCCCAAGTTTGAGAATGAGTTTTTCAGCATTTATGTGATCCATGAAGTTAGGATGAGATTTTCTTCTGCGATAATCTTCATCAGTAAAAGGAATCTCAGGATCTTCCTATGAAGGAAAAAATGTGACTGTTATACATGTCTTAAAAAAGAACAATTTTTAAAGGCCTAGATGGTTAAAATAAGTTCTTAAAAAATATTTTTTAAAACTGTTTTAACTTTGTTTTAATTTGAAATTCTTAAAACTTCTGATTCTGATACTTGAGGTTCAACATTTTGAAAATGTCAATAGTTCAATTTCAATTTTCACAGAAAAAGATTTTTAACTACTTTTTATATTTAAAAAAACATGAATTTTTATTATATACAGCATTATACAAGCTTGAAAAACTGATAACTGCTACAGATAACATTAATGTGCACAATTTCTGTAAGACTAAATTTGAGAATTGCAATAGCATACTACAAAGCATCCCACATGGTTCCTGACAATACTTAACATATATAGATACAAAGATGTATCTATTTATCTGTCTATACACTTATTTAAATATGTGTTTCATTAAATACATATGGGATTTTTTATGATTGAAGGACAGTGCATATTGTGGTTAGCATAGGTCTTATATCTTGTCCAAGCAGTCCCTAATGTCTGCCTGTATCATTGTAGCCCAGTGCCTAAACTTCCCTGTCCAGTGGAATAAATTTAGCAATTTTGGCAGTAAGTAGTGGTTCAGGGTGAAAGGATCATGAGAAAAAACCACACTTGCTGACACTAACTTTATTAGCTATTGTTGAAGTACATACTGAAATACTTTGTTTAATTGCATTTAATTAATATTTTCCATTAAATGGAAATATTCAGTTTAAAAAAAAATTATGTTTTCACATTACTTACAGGGTCAGGGGGTTTGCTTTTTGCCCAGCTCATTATTGTCGAAATGAGGATGAATAACTTTGGTGTTGCAAAATGCTCTATTTCTATATGTAGAGCTGTTAAATGAAAGCGAAGGATTTAATTTATTGTAAACTGTATTACTCAAACTGTATTTTTGCTTTTATATAAAGGTCCTGAATAGACATTTATACCATAACATTCTATGTGATATGTATTTTTAAGCAAATACTCTTTATTTGGGTTGGTATAAAATAAAGATAATAAATCAGGAAAGAAAACAAATAGACAAATAATGGTAATAAAGAATCAAATCATTGGGAATCAACATAATCCCCATAGAGCTACATATCAGGGGAGGAAAAAAAGAATAGAATATAGAAACTATGTATAGTAGGAAATGATCATTGTTGACTGCTGAGATACTGAAAGAAAATAGAAGTGTGGGGTTTTTCATGATTAAAACAGAAAATCTATAGAATTCAAGTAAAGCTTCCTTATTTTAATTTAGAGCAAAACAATTAAATGTGGATTATGTTTTGATGAGTCCTCTAAAACTTATGATGTTATCCAAGTATTTATACCATAACCAGGAAAGCATAATTTAGTTTAACTATCATATAAAGAACAATATTGCACTGTCACCAATAAAAAAAATCTAGATGCCCATTAGAATTTGGATATAATAATCAGGAGAAAATTTCAGAAAGACTGTTAGCAGTATTTTTTTATTGGACTTTTAAGTCAAAATATATTTAAAATAATTATATAAAATACTGAAACGTTATTTCAATATCACAGGAGCAAATTTTCTACCCACCTCCCAATGCGAATAGATAAGATGATGGTTGATAGTTATTTAGGGAAATAACTGCCTACACAGATATGTCATTTAAAGTGTTGGACCATTCCATGAGAGCTTCTCTAGCTTATGAATGTTAGATGCACTCCATGGTCCCTTGCTAATTAATTGAACAATTCATGCATTTCTCCATCAAGGAACCCAGTTTTATATTACAGTAAGCTTTAAAAACCAGATAATTTCATTATAAATTTTTGGTAAATCCCAGCTAATTTCATTATACATTTACAGTAAATTTTGATGGCTGTATAGCAACCAATTTTCTGTTCAGTTTATAGCTATACTAACCAGAAGCAGCCCATGTTGCTTCCTCAATTTGATTTGCATCCTCAGTGATATTATATAAAACAACCTCACACTCAAGCAAGTGACTTAGGAGCTCTTTTCGAGAAGAGACCTGGGGAAAAAAATGGTTAGAATCTGTCATTTAAGAAAAAATAAAAGAAAAAAAATATCCAAAATTCCTTTTCTCTGCAAGTTTAACTTACTGATAGAATGTAGTTTTCTAACACTAGGATGTTAGAATAATTCATAAGACTGATATCAAATTTTATCTGTCAGATACAAATAAGGTGATAAAATGTAAATTAAATGCTGAAACTTCTAATTTACAGTACACATTAATATAGTTTAAAAAGATGCACAATTTTTAGTTGTATTTTAGGATTCATATTTTCAGTGCAAATGTAAGTATCAAAAAATATCTATGACTTTTATAGGTATTTTAAACAAGGATCAGCTGGCATTATAGAGAAGTCATAAAAAATGTCTATTTCCTTGCAAAATAACTTCCTGTCATTTTTGTTAAATGCAGATTGTCTGCATCACTTGAGCAAGTCCAACAAACACTTTGGGCAAGAGCAGTGATTACGATTAAATACTGACAGCCATAATTTTCTGATTAAACAGCTTAGCTGTATAGATGTTTAAATCAAAGTTTTCAAATTTGAAGAGATTCTGGATAATCAATTTGAAACAGTTAGAGGCAATTTTAGTTTCAGAAAACTAAATCAAGCAATAAGCAATCACACTCTTAAAAGCAAGCCTCCTTTAGTTAACTAAACTCTGGACGTACCTTTATACAAAGATGTAGGTATTCAGAACAATTAGCTGCTAGTGAAAGCTGTGATTTCAGTGAACTATTAAGAAGGGGGACACTAAGTTTGATTCCAGCATCACTACCTCTAAAATGGTGATATAAGACAGAGGAGACAAGAGAGATACTTGCGGTGTGTGTTTTGAGGGAAAAAGAAAGCAGACCTGTGGATCATCAGGATAGAAGATGTCCTGTCCATAACTATTTTTTTAAAAATCTATTTTGAGTTTGAGTTCCTTCCTTTTACTATTTGCTGTATCAGACCTAGCAGGGAAGAGACAACAGTGTGCAGGAAGCAGAAGGAATAAAATATACATATACAGCTTCCACCAGCAACAAAAGACCATTTTATTAATGCAGGTCATTTTACATGACTTGCAATATTTCTAATGTTGTCTAATGGCAACCTGAAATAAGACTCTTACTTACTGCATATGTTTCCTCTGCAAAACATGGTTTAGTACTCTCTGGTTTAGAAAGGGTACCCACTACTTGGTAGACTCCCTCCTTTGGCCTACTAGAAGCTTCAGCAGCTGAATTATTTTCATCTTCCTCTTCCTCTTCCTCTCCTATGCTTTCAAGCGATGCCCCAACAACACATCTGGATAAATACTGCAATATACAAGACACACATTTGTATGCAAATATATATTGAATCCTACACAGCTTCTAATGGTCTTGGGAAGACACCAACACTCTGTTGACTAGCCCTGATCCTGTTGTAGGTAATGCAGCTCAGAACACAGCTTCCCATTGAACAGGAAAACGTTATGGACTCCTCAACCTCGGCTGTAATGTTTCGTCTTGACTTGTGTTCTACGCCTCAAAGTCGAAGGTGATGGTGAGTCCCTAGATGCCTCTTCTCTGCAACCTGGCCCCTCTCAGGTAGGCTTTACCTCAAGGAGGTATTATCTCTCTCCACGGGGATCAGCCGTTGCCTGAGATTTCCCGACCTGCTTTATCCACGCCTCCTGCTCCTAACTCTCATTTTTCCTCCTTCCTATCTTAACCCCTTCTTGTCCCCAGTCCCTCTCCTCAGCAGCTATTTTAGGTGACCCCAGCTACCCGACTGGCTTCTCGCCCGGCCGAACTCCCCGGAGGCCGGCCACGGCTCCCTGCCGCG